GCTGAGCGGGGAGGGGGGTGGGGGGTGCTTTCTCCCTCTTCCTCTCTCTCTGGTGAACATACACACCCTCTGGCTAAGAAAAGACAGAAGTCCAGGCATAGTTTTTTCATTATATACCTTTTCCATGAACTTTCTGAAGTGCATGTGTATGAGTGTATGTTCTCAAGGTGTCCATGCACACAAGTTTCTGCAGAGTCTCCACGTTTACTGCCAAGCTTCCTTCCCACTCATACTAGGGGACTATGTATTTTCATTTTGATTTAAAAAATACAAAGAGGTTGGCACATTTAAAGTTAACAGATTTTATTGTTATAAAAACAGGCTGACTCAATGGTAACCCCTAGTAGTTGGTTAGACTGATCAGCCTGCCCATCAATTACCTGGACTCCTGACTTTACTACTCATTACAGCTGGCTGACTTGACACGTGATTGTGCAACATGCAGCTCCCCAAGGATGATCAGGGAATGCAAAGGAATCAAAGCAGATTCTTTTGCTACTTTTAGCACTTCTAGTATAAAGATTAGTTGAAATTAGAGAAAAGCCATTAACAAAAATAAAATTAAGAAATAAGTTACCTGTGGATTTCATTTACTCACATTAGGACTGGTCCCTCCTTATTGGAGTTTAACTGAAAACAGACTGGACCATGACTGGCAGCTACATACTGGTCATTTTCAAACACTCCAGTGACGTTCTCCAGTAACTTTCTTATTTCCAGTTTTATGGTGCCATACTATGCTTTTCACAGTGTTTAAATTTCCCATTTCCATAATCTAAATACCGAAAATCACTACACATTCCCTTCTACAGTCAAAAATAGGTTTACTGGAATGTTTTAGTTGAAGGCAGCAGTATTCACAACATTGGCTTTTGTCACACCCATGAACATGTGGAAATTGCTTGTGAAGCAACCGCAATGTGAAAAGAATGACACTGTGGCAGATACAGACAGAACGGTCACGCATTGCCTTTAGCGTAATAATTTGGTACTCCATATCGTTTTCCTGACCCCCAGGCTAACGCCCACCTTGATGCAATAATGCAAGTCCTTATGCCACCAAAACACAAGGATGACATACCATTATGAGTCTTTAACTATATACACAAATAATGAACTGGCAAGTATCTAGTTTCAAATTAGATCCTTGGAATATGACAAAATAGAGGCTGGTTATCTTTGCCTTAAAGATACTTATTAAAAGTATTTTAATGAGAAGAAGATAAATGAACATTCTCAATGTTCCAATTTGAAGTGATACTTGCCTTTTATTTTCTTGAAAAAGAAGTTTTGAAAGTTATATACATAGGTTTCGTTTAAATTATGCAGCGATCTTTTATTATTATTGTTCCAGATCTTGTCTAAGGACGATCTCTGTCATCAAATCAAGTGCAGTATTTCGCAACTATAAAAACTGAAAGAGAAAAAAATGAAAAAAGAATATATCAAAATCAGATGTGTATGCTATGTCAGAAGCAATATTCCTAAAGATAGCTGTATTCACTTCTAGAAATGGGAAATGAGGGCTGAACTTTTATCTGTAATATGGGTAATAAATGGGAAAGGAGAAGCAAGAGTAAGAAATAACCTAAATGTCTAACGATGGCACCTTGATCAAGTAAATTATGGCATAATCATTGCATGTAGCTACTAAAGTATTATAAAATATTTAGTAACACAGGAAACTATTCACAATATATTAGATTGTGTAAATAATAAGATCCTAGTTTTATTTATTTATTTTTTTTGAGAGGATCTTGGGCACACATGGACGTGCACCTGATGTGAGTTTTAAGCCACCAGGTCCAGGATTCGAACCACGGTCGACAACATGGGAGTCCAGTGACATAGCCATTACGCTAACTGCTGGCCCCAAGATCCCAGTTTTTGGAAAACATTTTTATAATAAGACTAGATGTTTGTACAAGTTATATTAACAGCAGCTATTTCTGTGGTAAGATTAAGATTGAATTTTATTTTCTTCCTTATGCTATTTCATATTTCCAAGCTGTCCACCATAGATGGTTGATTTTTGTGAGGTGAGGTCGTTATGTTCTATAAAGTCTCCATGACCACTGAATTAGTCTACTCCTAGGGGAAATACAGGGTTAAACTTTCATGAGCTTCTGGCTATTACATTTTTGTCAACTTATCAATCCACAACCTTATTCTCTATAGAAAGACATCTTCCTTAATATTCATTGTTGATTCAGTTAACTCTGACCTCAGAGCCAGCAGCATTCTTACTTGTGCCTCAACAAAACTGACCGAACATGGGTATTTCTTTCTTAGGATACATCACGGCCTTCTTGCACTCAGCTGCACTAGAGCACACTGCAGCATCATACCTGGGCACCATTTTAAATGGCAAAATACCCAACAAAAAGCATGAAAATGTGGAAAACTAACGTGGCACTAAGCAGAAAACAAAAAGGACACTTATTTATGTTATGAGTGGAAAGGAGACAGGGATCCCCTTGTTTGATATCAGCTGAAAACAAGGAGGTCATGAGACTTACATTTCTTCTTCTCTACATGACTGTGAATGACTGAAATCACCATGAGCACTGACTTTAGAGTTACAAATACATTCGGGCTAGTGAGGGAACCCTCAAACACAATCTACAAGTAAGGATTAACTGTAATTCTTTGTAATACATTTTTTTTCTGTTGAAAGAATAGCATCATAACATGTTTGAAATGGTTATTTTGAAACACTTTCCAGATCTTTATAAATTTCTGTAAACATAGAGAAGCCTCGAAAAAGGGGAGCTATTAAAGATAATCTGACCTTAAAAAGAGGATTATGGAAAAATGGAGAGGAAGGAATTACACTGAAATCAAGGTCAAGTCTAAAACAAAATAAAAGCCAGTAAGAAACAAAAAGACGCTCATCTGGAGAATTTGATTTGTACTTCCAACCCTGTTTTATGAGATGTAAACTGCCATACTTAAAAGGCAAAAGAAACTGAAAACGAATGTTTGGGTTCTGCATATAACAGCCCAATTTAGCCTTGAACAAATGGCTTAGCCCTGCACTTTGGGGGTATGGAATAGAACAGGGGTTCCCTGTAGGAATCGGACAAAGATACAGACTCTCTCTCCATAAAAATGGACATATGCATCTTCAAATAAAATTTTACATGTAATTTTTAAGAGCATTTTCAGAGCCCATACTAGGTTAAAGGCTGCTGACTCAGATCAGAAATTATTATTCATTGAACTGAAAATGAATTAAAATGAACCTTAAAACAAATGACACCCCCAAGAAGCAACAGGCCAGTAAATACTTACTGATAACCACTAGCAAAAGGATAGCAGCAACCAAAGCCATGATGGCCTTTATCTACAACACACAAAAAAGAATAAGAAAAATAGGAAATGTCTATTATGTTACTGAAATCAAGACTGTTGGCAATATTTATAACACTTTACTAATTATCAGTAAACAGATCAGTCCTTGAAAGGTTTTCCAATTTTTTTCTCAAAGGAATTTGCTGGTTGTTTTACATCCTTTTGTAAATAACCACAGTTTTCCAAATTCGAGGGTTTCTGCTTGGCCAGTATACTGTTTAAGGCTCTCTGTACTGATAGCAACAATCAAAGCCTTCATGGGGCTGGATTTTTTTCAATTTCACATGCTTATTACTAATGTGAGACCCGGTAAAGTGCATCTCAGTCATCTCTGTTCAAGTGTCAGGACAGGATAAATAATACAAGCAACCAATCCAAATGGTTCAACAGTACAGAAAAGCATATTTTATAGCACTTAAAGTATATGGAAATTCCGTTAGTTTTTCCTCTCCTGGCTTTTTGCTTAGCATTATTTCCATTTTGAGAAATATATTTTGGATTCTTCATGAATAACCTCATTTGATAAGTAACATGCTAAGAGCATTCTCTATGTCAGTTTCACAGTTGGAAGGAGAAATCTTAACATCTGTTCTCCGTCAGCTGCTCAACATTTAAGTTCATTTTATGTTTCTATATAAAACTGTCACATTCAGAAACCAGAAGAGGTATAATGGTTACTAAATTGGACTCCCACATAGTCGACCAGTTCGAATCCCAGATCCAGTGTCTTGAAACTCACACCTGGCATATGTGCATGCGTGTCCAAAATCTCAAGAGGAGAATGGAGAAGGGATTGCAGCATGGCCATCCCCCCTAGGGAGTGATTTCTCACTTTCTGTCTCTCTGGTGAACACACATGCCCTATAACAAAAATCTCTCTCTCAAAAAAAAAAATTGTCACATTCATCATTTAATCCTGAATTATAAATTGACTTCATTTTCTTCACGAATTAAAAAAGCCGTATTTTCATCGAACATTTTCACTGAGAACTGATTAAAGACAGTTCACTCAGTAAAAAAGATACCAGATTACTATAAAAAAGAAACAATCTGGGACCAGCAGATGGCGTAATGGCTATTTAATTCCCATTTAATCGACCGCAGTTCAAGTCCCGGACCTGGTGGCTTAAACTCTCGCTAGGCATGTGTGCGTGCATGCCCACGATCCTGAGAGGAGAATGGAGAAGGGATTGCAGCATGGCCATCCCCCCTAGGGAGTGATTTCTCACTTTCTGTCTCTCTGTCTGTCTGTTTTTCTGGTGAGCACACACGCCCTATAGCAAAAAACCTCTCCAAAAAAAAAAAAAAGAAAGAAAGAAAAAAAAAGAAACAATTTTATGAGTATTAAAAATAGCAGTGAGCAGTAATTAATGAAATGTTTCTTAAATAGAATGACTAGTGACATTTTAGTGGCATTATATTTGTGACAATAACAAAGGGACCTAGGGAATATATGGAAGCCTTATCATCTGGATACTATTGCTCATTAAAATGATTAATTATGATAACTAAACACTGCAGAAACAGTCTCAGAACAGATGGAAATAAGGAGCTCTATTTTCAGTAGGTGTCTAGTCCATATTATACTATAAACTGAAGTACTTTGATCCTTTTTTAGATTTTTTTAACCTAAAAACATTTCTAAAATAATTCTGAATTACATAGTTTTCCAACTTTACCTAAAATATATATCCATTTTCCCTATTAGTGTGTGCTAAGCTTAATTTAAGAAAATTTAAATGGAAATTCAATTTTAAAACACCTCAGTGTATAGTTTTCTTCCTGTATCTTACACTGGACAGGAGATATTTCTTTTTTTTCTTTTTTTTTTTTTTTTTTTTGAGAGGTTTTTGCTATAGGGCGCGTGCGCTCGCCAGACAGACAGAGAGAGACAGAGAGATAGAAAGCAGGAAATCACCCCCCGGGGGGATGGCCACGCCGCAATCCCTTCTCCTCCATTCTCCTCTCGGGATCTTGGGCATGCACGCACACGCGCCCGGCGTGAGTTTAAGCCACCGGGTCCAGGACTCGAACCGCGGTCGACTACGTGGGAGTCCAGCGACATAGCCATTACGCTAACTGAAAGAAAAGAGATATTATAACCCTGAAGTACATGTCTGAAGTGCTCTTCTTCCACATGAAATAGAAAAATCTGTTTATTACTAAATACATCCTCAAGACCTTCTAGATACTTAAATGAGGTATAAGTTCATTCCTCACCCACTGGATAATTTTATTCATCTTTTAATTTTTTTTTTTTTTAAAGAAAAGGTAACTCTTAGAAGAAATGTTTAGCATATGGCAAAGTCACATTTAGAAAGTTATTGCTGAATTTAAAAATGAGAGACTAAAAACAATGAGTTCATGTCTAAAATTTTTCAACAAAGTCAAAAATCATACCTAGAATCAGGAGAAAAAAGAAAAAACTTAGTCACATGACATGGAATTTTACCTTAAAAGAAATATTTTGTATTTAATGATTAGTAGCCACACTTGATTTATTTTGAGGCCTGGACCCATAGCCTAATGGCCAAGAGATCCGGATCCCATATAGCTGACTGTGGTTCAGAAGCCTCGTGCTCCACATCCCGACAGAATGGAGAAATGGAGTAGAAGGGATTGCAGCGCAACTATGCCCGCAAGAGGTAGTTTCTCTCTCCGTCTCCCCATCTCTCTCTCTCTCTGGTTAGCACATGCACCCTCTGGACAATTAAAAAAAAAAATTTTTTTTTCTACAAAAGGTTTTGCAGAAATATATTGGTATATGGTTGATTTTCATTTTCCCCCTTGTTAAAATGTTATTTATTTTTCTCTAGAATAATGGGAGTCAGTAAGATCTTTGTTTTCTTAGCCCCATTTACCAGAACATATTCTGACATATAAACTGCTTTTTTCCCTGTTTTGACGAAAAATATTTTTCTTTAGCTCCCACTTTATTTTTAAAAACTTCTTTATAGGGACCAGCAGTTGGCCTAATGGGTATGTCGCTGGACTCCCATGTAGTCAACCGTGGTTCAAGTCCTGGACCCAGTGTCTTAAACTCATGCCGGGTGCGTGTGTGTGCGTGCGTGCCCAAGATCCTGAGAGGAGAATGAAGGAGAAGGGATTGCGGCGTGGCCATCCCCCTGGGAGGTGATTTCTCGCTTTCTGTCTCTCTATCTCTTTCTGTCTTTCTGGTAAATGCACACACCCTATAGCAAAAACCTCTCCAAATAAAAAAAGAAAAAGAAAAAGAAAATTACCTCTGTAATGTTATAGGTTGCTCCAAAAAAACACTAAGTTATAAGAAAAAAATATTTATTAAAAGATATTAAGTCTAGAGATAGTTATTAATAAAATCTGGATCAGTTTTATAAAGAAATCTAAGAAAAAAATTTTTTAGGCATTGCTTTATTCCTTTAGTTATTCCTGTCCATGAAGTCACTCATTAATTCAGCAAATATTTATTGAGTTCCCACCATGTCCCATGAACAGAATAATATGCAAGAAAGTTTCAGTCCCTGTCCTCACTGAGCTCACACCCTAGGGAGGCCCTTTTATCTTCACATCTTTGACTGTCACTGGAGAGGCTGACTCATCTACCAAAGGGCTTCTGATTTACTTACTTTGCATCCACGCCACCACATTTGCCTTCGCAGTTGTTTGGATCTGTTGCTAAAAGCAGTTGCATTATCCGATAAGCTTTCTATATCACATAGAGGATGGAGAGAAGGATTAAACGACATAACAGGAGTCTTTTCTCTAGTCACACAAAGACGAGAGAATATTAATTTTCTACTTCTGCAAATTCCCCCCCCCCCATTTTTAAGATCAAAAACAACATCTTCCCTTCCCTCCACCCACAAACTGCCATTCTAAGTTATAGAAAAACAAAAAGCAAAAGCACAGCTCTGGGTCAGTTTGCTTAATTCATTTTTACTGTAAGATTAAGAAAAGTCTTTCCAGAGCTTCGGTGCTTAAAAATAAAATTAAAAATTCTGGTAAGGAAAAACTCCTTAAAAATTCAAGGGCATGAGGGCCAGCAGGTGGTGTGGTGCTTAAGGCACTGCACTCCTACATGGCAGACCGCAGTTCAAGTCCTAGACCTGGCAGCTTGCTGTCTCACTTTCCCTCTCTCTCTGTCTCTCTTGGTGAGCACATGTGCCCTGAAGTAAACTGGTGAATAATGACAAATAAACTTAAATAATTCTTTAAATAAAAACAAAAATATTCAGAAGCACGGGGCCAACCAGGTGGTATGGTGGTTAAGGCATCTGGATCCTACATGGCTAATTGAGAGGTTTGAGTCCTGGACCTGAAGTCTTAAAAAACACACCAGGCACATGTGTGCATGCCCAAAGCCCCGAGAGGAGAAAGAGAGAGGAGGGGACTGTGGTGTGACCATTCCCCTTGGGGGGTGCTTTGTCATTTTCATTCTTTATGTGTCACTGTCTTTGGTGAGTGCATGTGCCCTATAGCAAAAATTTAAATAAGTAAATAAATAAATAAAAAGGGCACATCTTAGACATAAATAACATGCAGAGAAGGTTAGTCTCAGAAGATACCAAAGTGAATGACTTTAAAGGAAAACAATATTGATTTTAAAAGTGGTTAGCAAGATTTTTGGTTCAGTAAGTCTGTGAAGCATTAATTAGGTATTGAGCTATTCACCATTCTAACAATATTTGAGTTCCTAACATGTGCTAGGAACTGATATAGTGAGAAGAATTGAAAACTGTCAGGAAAGAAATGTTACTAAGTTCCCAGAGAAAGTACAAAATAGAAATATCAGAGAAGTTGAAATGTGTTGGAAAAAAGCAACTGGACTCTGCCTTGAGATCATGAGAAACATAAAATATATCAACTTAATAGGGCAAAATAAAAACAGCTCTACTAACTCTTCAACAATGAATTTTTAGATTCTTCATTCTCAGCTAAATAATTAAAGAAATAATACATGACTGAAAGGAAGATAGCTAAAATTAAACCATTAAAATAATAAACTTAGAACCAAATGCCAATTTCCTAACCCAAGATTCTTCAACACTGGCTAGACAAGTGAGAGAATATATAAACTAGCAAAACATAGATGAATAATATCAAGGAAATGTGAAATATCTGTACCTGATTTGTCCTGCAGTTCATCTAGTCTCTCTCCTCTTTCAATTACCTTTGTAATATTTTCTTGCATGACATCGATAACTTCATCCACCTGATTTTGAACACTAGTTTAAAAAAAAGATAAGAGTTTATTCTTTTTTTTGAGAATGTTTAAAATTTTTGATATTTTCATTCGATATACAATAATAGGGAAGACCAAATTCTCAGAGAATTATACAACTATAGACCTGTTCAAGGCTTTTAGCAATATTCTTCAGTTCTGAAAGCCAAGAGACCATCTCAAGCCTGGGAGAGCAACCGGATCATCTTTCTGAACAGAGAACAGAGACAGAACACATGGAGGGTTGCCAGAATCTCTTGAAGCCATGTGGCTTATATAAGAAAAGGTCGCTAGATGGAAACATTCATGGGCGGACAGGCCATCTTGTCGCTTGTTTTCACTGTGCCAGGAGACTAAAGAAGGCTGGAGCTTTGTGCCCTATTTGCAAGAAATAGGTTCAATTTGTTATTGAGGTTTTTATAGCATAACCAAAGCAGTGAATTGTAGTAAAAGACCAAGAGGGCTGAAATACTGGCATCGTGCATTTCTACCCAGTGTAACACATTTCATCTATTACAAATGTCTGTGTCCTGGTATGTTCTGTTTCTAAACTTCAGGAATTTGAGAATGAGTTCTTGAGAATGAGTTCTTTAGAATGAGATGATTAATTTAGGGACGTAGGAAATCACATATACCACTTTACAGCCCCTGCAAAGACGACCTGGTAAGGAACAACTACCAGTGCAGACACAAAAACGCAGTCATGTGGTTGCTGGGGCAGCTGGATCCCACATAACCAACCGTGCAGATCAAGCCCCAGAGCCAGTGGCATGTGTGTGTGTGCCCCAAATCCCAGAGATTTAATTATTAAGCCTTTCTCTCTCTCTCTCTCTTTCTTTTATAGTTTGCCAGAGGGATAAGTATGTTTAGTTGGAGAGAGGGTAGGAGTACCCCACCACTGGGGGACAGTCATGCCTCAGTTTCTTCTCCTCCATCTCTGCTCCTTTTGGAGTTTTGAGCAAGCATGCAGACATGCCTGGCATGTTTTTCAGGCTGTAAGGGTCTGGGACTTGGATCATGCTGTTGGCCATGTGGGATCCAGCCACCTCCACTACCATGCTATGGACTGGCCCCCAAATTAACCTTTCCTTTAATTAATTTTATTCCTTATTCTTCTGTTAAGGAATGTCCTATTAGAAAAACATCAGTGGTAATAATGAAAAGGCATGAGTAATCTGACCAGTCAAATTAAGGGTCGGCAGGTTGGCGTGGTGGTTAAGGATGCTGAACTCCCACATGGCTGACCATGGTTTGAGGCAGTTTGCTTTCTCATGTTCTCTCTCATTCTCTCTCTCTCTCTGTCCCTCTCTGGTCAAATTAAAATAAGTAAATAAATAAAGTTAAATAAAGTAAAAAAAATTATGATGTGGACCCTTTTATGTTGAAGTCAACATGCATAGTTTAGAGAAACCAAAAGAAAAAGTTGAAAAACAAGACATTTCTTTTAGGTATACCTAGTACAGTGGTTATCAAATAGTTTTGCTAACATACCCCTGAAGGAATTTTGAAAATGTGTATGTAACCTTCTGCATATTTTAAAATTGAGGCACAATTAACATACGGTAAGTTGTTTCTTCCAATGAGTTCTAAAAATCTGAGTAACCACTCAAAACAAGCTAAAGGGTATTTTTGTTACCCCAAAGTATTTCCTCATGTCCCTTTCCAGGCACTCTATCAACTATAATATTTCATAGCTCTCATCCTAGATTAGTTTTCCTTTTGCATATCTTTAATTTGACATCTAACGTGTAAAAATGTAAGTACTTACAAAGGATATACTATTCAATATATTGTATATTACATAATATGCCTTAAAGCTATCTTTATCAAAGTCTTGGAGCTGTAGATCTAACTGATTAAGTTTATAGAAAAAAGTCCTGTCAGTGGCTAGCAGGTATCGTGGTGGTTAAGGTGTCAGACTCCCACATGGCTGACTGTGGTTTGAGTCCTGGACCTGGCGGCTTGCTCTCTCCCCTTCCCTCTCTGTCTCGGGTCACATTTTTAATGATAAATTAAATAAATAATTCTTTTAAAAAATCATATGAAGTAATATTTAACTCAGAAATAGCTCATTTTTAGCCCTGCTTCCAACTAGTAATGTAACCTGAAAGCAAAATAAATGTACTGTCACATGCTCAGTACCTGCAGAATCCAGTCAAATACCTTGGTTGTTCACATATTTAAATAAAATGGTTGGGCTAGCTGGAGGCAGGGTGGTTGAGATGACTAGGTCCAGCATGGCCAATGTGTGGTTCGAGTCCCAGACCAGGAGGCTTGAGAAACATGCCAGATGCATGTGCATGTGTGGCCAAAATCGCCAGAGGAATGGAGAAGGGATTGTGGTATGGCCATCCACCATGGGGATACTTCCGCACTGGTCTTCTCTCTCTTTCTTTCCAGAGCACATACACATCCTCTGGCAAATTAAAAAATAGATAGATAAAATAAAAATAAATCTATAAAGTACTTTTCAAACAAATAAATAAATAGCTGGACTCGACTCAGTTTCATTTTCTTTTCAATAGGCTTGTTGAGGCATTAGGTAGACACAGCCATAACTGACTTTGCTATTATTTTGTACACAAAGGTTGACAGAGGAGTTTGCCCAGGTATGTTGGAAGTTCATGAAAACTAGCTAGTTTGTGCAATGGAGGTGTAAGCCGTACTCTAGGAGACACTGACGCTCAATGGGTATAACTCTGCACTGTTAAGCCATCTCCTCTTGCACAGAAACACGTTTAAGGTAACTGGGAATATCTGGGAATGTTTTGAAGCACCCACTAGGAGGCAAAAAGGGACAGATCCTACTGGCTTTCAAAACGGAAAATATGTTTTCCTCCTTTTCTAACTAAATTCAGGTTGTCCAATGAAGATTTAATGCTAAAATTAAAAACGTAATAATTGGCCCTCAACCACTTGCTGTCATTCTGGTGTTCCCTCCAGAGTCTGCAAACACAGAAAGCTTAATTATCTTAAGTGTCCAGTTTTCCTCTGTTGCTCTAACCAGGAGATAAGGAATTATCTTAAATTACTTTTTAAAATACATTACAACAATGAAACATGAGATATTTAAAAGGAGAAATAGGTTAGTGGCAGTGGCTCAGGGGTAACTGGGGGCTCCATGATGCTGAGCCCGTGTGGAGGGTCCTGGGTTCATATCCTGAGGTCTCCCTTTATATAGCAGGCACGTGCCTGTGATCCCAGCTGGCTAGTGCTGCAGCTGAAAGCCCCCCATGGGGACGCTGTTGGGGGTGCCAGTCTCTGTCTCCCTCTATCTGAGAGGAATAAAGACAATTTTTTTTTTAAAAAAAAGGACAAATACAGTAAAATGACTAATCTAACTCAAAGTTTAAAGTGCACTGAATTACTAGCAACTCCAGATATCAGCTGTACTTCTAAAAACTAAGGCTATGGAAATGTGTCATCATCAAGGAAGAAGTCTGTCAGTTGGCAGTGCACGTCTCTTCTCTGCCCTCTGCACCCTCCACGCCACTCCTCCCTCAGACTAACCCACTGAGCACGGTCACAAGCAACATTGGGGAAAAAAGTTCTATCCTTTTCCCATCACTGTTTATTTCTTCACTAAGTTTATTTAAAAAATATAATGAGACCCAGCCGATGTGGTGAACCCCAGTAGTCCCAGCTCCTCAGGAGGCTGAAGCAGAAGTACTGTAACATAAAAAGACCTATCTAAGGAAATGCACAAAATGAAGGCCCTTTTAGACATAGGTGCATTCAAAAGTATTCTTAGACTCAAAAAGCAATCGCTCTGCTTGATGATGGCTCTCTCTCTTCCAGGGTTAAAGAACTAAGCACATCCACTGACTATCCACACACACAGACTTCAGGAGTCGGCCCAGATCCCGAGTTCTGTGCTTCCCACACATCATTCCACTGAAGGACATGAGATGAGGCAGGACGTGCAGACTTCCCTTCTGCCCAGACAGATCTAAAAGAAACCCTAGTTCTCCAAGATGCCTTGTTGCAACTCCTATCACTCAACACAGAGCTAAAGATGTTTATCCTATGTAAGAATGATGGCACGAAGAAGCAGCTAAATCAATTTATTTAATGAATAATTAATGAGCAACTGCTAGATACTGTTTGGGCACTGGGAAAGCAATAATGAACAAAACATTACCCCAGCTCCTCTGGAACTTAGGTCTGAATGTATAATGAATGCACGGCATTAACCTTAGCGCTGTGGAGCAGCCTGCTCTACCCCATTATTCTATTTATTTAGAGCATATAACACTAAGTGAAAGTACCATTTTATTATTTATATGGTTATTTTCTACCTCTCCTCACTGGAGGATAAGCGCGGTAAAAGCAGAGACCCTGCCTAGTTTGCTCACATTTGTAATCTCAGCATCTACAATGAAGTATGGAGCAGTGTAGACAAAATAATACCTGATGAATAAGTAAATAACTTGGGTATAAATCCTGTGAAGCGTACCCAGCTACAGGTTAAGTATCCCTTACATGAAATGCTTGGGATCAGAAGAGTTTTATATTGGAATTTTTCCAGATTTTGGAATATGTGTATTCATATAATGAGTTACCTTGAGGATAAGACCCAAGCCAGAACATGAACTTCGTTTATGTTTCATATATATCTCATGCACATGACTAGAGAGAATTTTATACAGTATTTTGTTTTGTCCATAGGATGAGTGTGCTCACCAGAGAGAAAGAGATAAACAGACAGACAGAAGTGAGAAATCATTTCGCTAGAGGAATGACGACACAGCAATACCTTCTCCAGTCTCCTCCTGGAATTTTGGGCATGCACGCACATGCACCCGGTGTGATTTTCAAGCTACTAGGTCGGGACTCGAATAGCAGTTGGCTAAGTGGGAGTCCAGTACTTTAACCATTACGCCACCAGCTGGCATAGTTTTTCTCTGAAGGGCACATTATTTACCAGAGAGAAACAGAGACAGAAGGAGGAGAAGAGAAAGCCGACCCTATATGGAAAGGTCACATTACAATCCCTTCTCCTCC